GGGGCGCGCGGGCGGCGGCGCGGGGCTGCCCCCCTACCACCGGCGTGTGGGCATGGTCCAGGAGCTGCTGCGGATGGTGCGCCAGGGCCGGCGAGAGGAGGCGGGGACGCTGCTGCAGCACCTGCGCCAGGTGAGCGCGAGGAGGGGACGAGGGGGGCGCGCCGGCCCCGGGAGCGCCCCGCCCCTTCCCCAGGAGGCCCGGGGCTCCGAGGGGCACCGCCCAGGGCCCCCTCCCGCGGGGATGGAGCCCTGCCTGGCAGCAGGTGCCCGGCGCTCCCGCTGAATTTGGGGCCTCGGGGCAGGGTGGAAGGAAGAAGGCTGGCCGGGTGAGGCCCGGTGAAGGGGACCTGTTGGAATAATGTCCCCGCCGCTTTCCTCCGCAGGCAGAGAAGGAGACTAGTTCTAGAGGTGGTAGGTGGGAGGGGATGCAGGGATGTGTGCTTGGTCTGGGCCAGGGTTCTTGTCTCCTCTCTACCCTCTGGCAGTCACTCCTCCCGAGGGTCCCCAAGGATTGCACAGTTATCAGTTGAACCTAAGGGCACAGCCCTGGGGCGAGTGAGATTCCGGTCCCTAGGTAATTCGCCCACCCTAGAGGCATCCTGGATTGTAGTTCAGAAGGAGACAGTGTTTTACCTCCCCTGACTAACTTTGGCAGGTCCTCAACCATGATCCCCTCCGGAAAACAGTGGAGACAGGAGATAGGTTTGGTGTCCTGTGTGACCACCTGGCAGCAGGAACCTCCGGAGGCTGCCAGCACTCTGCCCTCAGCCTGTGCCTGCCCCACTGATTAGAGACAGACTCTGCAGATAGGGCCAGTTCCCTCTGCTTTGGGGCTGCCATGGGGTTGATGCTATCTCCCACCTCTCTTTAGCTTGTTTTCCTTTCTAGGTTTCTTTTGAGAAGAGGGCATGGCCCATGCTATGGATTTTGTTGAGTGCTAGAGAGGAAGAAGGGCAGCTTTGGGCCCTCCCATCTCGCCAAACAGGTTGTCTTGGCCTGGCTTTGGGGGGGGATAGGCAGTTCAGGCCCTGTATTCTTGCTAGATTGACCCCAGTTGAGGTAGATCATGCTGAGAATATCGGAGGGAGAAATCTCAAGATCTCTTTCTGAGATTCTCAGAGATCTCCCGTTAGGTTGTAGGAACACTTCCTTGGCAGGAACTTCCGAAATCTAATCTGACCTGCATCCTTTGTGGATTCTGCAGCACTCTCCCTCACCTTTTTATCTGGTGTGCTGTTACCCTGGAGTGTATGTCCCCAAGGTGTGCACTGCACAGAGAGGCAAGCAGAGACTTGGGGACTGGGAAAGATGCGGGGCTTCTGCCTCTGCTTTTCCAAGCAACACCCAGAATGATGCCTGAGATGCTGGATCCCCAGGTGCCTTCTCTGAATTGAATCATCAATGAAAGATGGCATTATGCACCACTTAACTTTAGCAGAGTGTATTTCTTTGTCTTTTGAAAACTGGGAGCCAACGTATGGCTTTTATGGTAACACTTTCGCTTTCAAACAGAATAATGGATTTTCCAGACTATGTTATCCCATTTGCACACCAGGCACACCAGACAGTAAGAAGGTTTTACTGATCACGTGCTGTTTCCCCAGTCCTGGGATGGTGCTTTGGGGGATACAGAAGAGTGGAGGGGGCTGACAAGCCTTTCTCGGAGGATAAAAGAACAAATGGAGATAGCGTTCTTGAGGGCTCATTGGAGGCCCGCAGGAGGAGCCTGAACCTGAAGTGGGCAGATACTTTGGGCTCCCCAGGCTCCCTAGGGCTGAGTATGCTTTCGTATCCTGGGGAATCTGAGTATCTCCCTGCCTTGCAGGAGATTAGAGAAACCCCTGTAGCCTCCCACCCCCAGGGTTGTGAGACAGAGAGCATTTCCTCAGAAAGGTGAATCTGCAAGTGGATCTTATTGGTGTCCTGGTATCCTCCTCAGCTGGAATGGAAGGGGGTTGGTGGGGGGGGAAGGGGATCATCAGACTTCCCCTTTTTTCATGAAAGCAGCAGAATAATTGTCCTCAGGCTATGGGCTCTCTTGACCTATGGCTCGTGGGTGGGGGCCATGAGCTTTGGAGAGCTGCCCTGAGTTGCCTGGAATGGACAGAGCAGGGCCCCTCCAGGGAGTGGTCATGGGCCCTAGGTAGTGTGGGAGGGGTGCAGAGGGTATCCAAATGTCCACAACAAACAGAGAGGTGGTTTTCTAGGACCCTGAGGCCATGTGGAGAAATGTCCAGCTGAATTTGTGCTGTGCACTGAGGTGCCTCCTTTTCCCAAATCATATTTTCCTTTCCAGTTTCCGCCTCTAGTCTGGAGGTGGTGATGTTCAGAAAGGGAACGAGCAGTCAGCGAGGGATGGGAAAACACACAAGTCCTCGCCAGGGGCCAGACCAGGGAAAGTATCCTCTTCAGCAACACAGTAGACGATGGCGATATGCGAGCACAGGGTACTGAGTTCTGCTGGACTGTTGTCCAGGACCCCTGGGGTGGGTGTTGATGAACAGGAGCAGGACCAGGGAGTCGTAGCAGCGGCCAGGACGGTAGCCATCATCCCCATTCATACAGCGTGTTTTCCTGTGTTTGATAACGGGTTTGGCTGCTGGATTTGTGTATGCCCACGTGGTTGGAGGGGAGTCAGGATCCTTAATTCCTATGGTTTTTTTTTTTTTGAGTCGGAGTCTCACTGTGTTGCCCAGACTGGAGTGCAGTGGCCGCTTCCGGCCACTGCAGCCTTGACCTGCTGGGC